GCGTGATGAAAGTCAAAGTTGTGAAACATTCACTCATTTTTGCTCGGTACTGTATCTCATATAATATTAATAGAGATATTGAGGAAATGCTAACGAATATAACGTTAGTCAATAGCATGAAATTATCCAATTATAGGACACTTAAATCTAGCAGCTAGATGGCTAGTTAAAGCAGCCAGTTAGTAAATATTGTATTGAATGCTTTACTCAAATACATACAGGCATAAGTAATTCCCTTATCAATCTTTCATTGACTACCTTTTATTTACACATTTTATATTAATTTTATATGTTTTTCTTTGTCCTTTACCTTTGCGAGTGAGAAAAACTATTGCATTTTGTTGAATGCTCCAACTTCTTTTAGTTGTTCTTGTTGTTGTTGTTGATTTTGTCTTTTTGGTTGGTTTCATAAGAATCTTTGCGTACGATTAGAGTTTCTTTTTCTTCTTCTTTTATATATATGTTTGTACGTATTTATTCCAAGTTGCTTTTTATATTAAATTTCTTTATAATTTCAGGAGTAAAATCATATTTTTTGTTGTCCAAAAATATGCCGGCAGTGCAGTTAATAGAATTTTTTCTTAAAAAAGGATCTGTCTACGGCTGTTTTTATTATTTTTGAGCTGCTATGCCACAGGTTTTTCGATTGTTTTTATTTTTTTCATTTATTATTATTATAGTTTGTGCGACTAAAGTTAGTTAATAATTTAGTTTTATACTCGCTTATAGAGACAAGGCTTAGTTTAGTCTAGTTTAGATATATATATATATAATATATGTGTATATAGTATAAGTATAGTTATTGTTGTTGTTGATTATTTAGTTGGTTTTTCTTTTTTTGGTATTTTTTTTATATTTTTGTAAAAAATGATTTAAAACCAAAAAAATGTAGAATCGAAAACACAATTTATTGAGATTTTTGTTGTAGTTATTGGTTTTACTTGTATTTTATTTTTGTAATTGCATTAAAAGTTTTTATAACGTTGTTTATCACATTTACACCATATCACCGAGAATCACAAACTGCCTTTAGGTAATTAGTATATTTCTGTTGGTCTCTGCACTTTGCGACGTTCTCTCAATTAGAATTATTATTACGGGGGTTTTTTGTCCTTAAAGCTTACAGCTAAGTCATTTATAACTAGTCCTTAGAGTTTATGTATAGTTGTATACTTTAAAAATATTATTTAGTTAAAGCTTTTCTTTTGGTTGTGATTCTTAAATATTTCTGCTTGACTCTTATTTTCTTTCCGTTGATTATTCTTCTTTATTTATGTATTTACTTAATTTCGTTTTGTTGTTTTGTATTTCTTTTGGTATTTGTTCTTCACTTTCTGTTGTCTATGGAGTAGTTCAGGTTATGTGAGAATTTCTTTGATTTGTTGTTTGTGGCACACATTTTGCTGCAAGTTGAGTAGTGGATTGAATAAAAGTTGACCGATTCAAAACTTTTCAGAGAGCGCGAACTTTTTCGTGTATGTATCTGTGTAACACACACATATACGCACACACACACACACACACACACACACACGTAGATACACGCACATGGAATGTGACCTTGTTTACGATTTATTTTGATATTCAAAAGCGTCGAGAGCAGTGTAATTGAAATGCGTGTGCCTTTGCCTACCCCAGGATACGAACTAAAAGCGCCGCATACATCGGCCAAGGGATGCTTTCTGCACACATAACGAACTTCGCCTCTCTCTCTCTCTCTCTCTCTTTCTCTCTTACTCAATCATACATAGAGTCTTTCTTGCCCTCCTTACTTATCTATCGCTTCTTTCACTGTGGAGTCTTTGACCAGTTGTTTTTGTTATTGTTATTCCTTCTAGCGAGTTCGTTGTCATAATTATGCTAATTTTTGATTGCTACAAGTTTTCTAATTCTTCCTCTTCTTTTCTTCTTCTTATTTTTTTTCGTAGTTTAGGGTGCAAATCCCTTAGAGGGTTGTTGAACGATAAAATGAAGGTTAAATAGCTCTAGATCAAAAAGATAACGAAGAAGCGCGAAAACTTTTGGGAAGTACTACCTAAATTCAATAAGCATACAAGAGGAAGTAAAATTATAATTTTCCAGACTTTGAAGAAACTTCAATCATAAAAGAAAACACACTTAAAGTCAATTAAAATCTGTTTTAAGTCCCTCTCATTGAACACAGATGAAATAATAACCGATGCCCCGCAAAAATAAATCGAGCTGTTTACATAGGCTCTCCACTCAAAGAAAATCCGATTCTGAGACGCTGAGCAAACAAACAAGCGAATTGCATTGGGCGACCATAAAACGTAAAAGCGAAATATGAACAAGTCAAAAAGGCACACAAATGGATTCTCATTCCTCGTTCCCATGCTCTACTCTTAAGTCCAAGCCCCAACCCCTCGGTCCCACCGTGCCTTATTTTCTTATACTTATATATGTATATATATATTTGTTTTCTTTGCATTTGTGTGTTTGGGAAATACCCGCGAAATGCCAGCATGATTTGGAGAATCGCATGGCACAGAGTAGAGGGCAAAAATAAGACGCGAATACAGGTGATAAATGGATGACGTAGTCGACCATAATAACAAACACGCATACGCCATGTGGCACACACAGCCATGAAAATGAATGTGAAGCACAAGTCACCCGAATAGCAAAAGAAACAACATTTGCCCATTGCAGTGACAGGCGAAGAAGAAAAAGACGCGCAAAACGAAAAACTTGCCCGGAATGCATGTGGCTCAGTGTTGCCCCGTTCACAGTTATTCCAATTCTCTGCTCCCGTTTCGTCCCATGTCAACTGTTTACAGCAGCTGTCGCTGTCGCCGTCTCAACACACTCAAAAAGCTTTGGCACAGCACAGGCCACACGCTGTACTCGAAATTGTGTTGCGGCTGTCAAAGTTTTTTTCTTTTGTTATAAAGAGAGCAAGCTTTCTGAACGCCTGCGCTTGCGTGGGAGAGAGTAATTAAGATGAGAGAGTGAGAGAGAGAAAGAGAGTGCGTGCAGATAATGCGTGCATTTCTATTAAATGTGAGCCAACAGGAAGTTTGCCGCGTTGCATTCGAGCGAAATGCCTAGCAATCCTTACAGTTATTGTTTGTTTATGCTACAACTATTTCGTTGGATGAAGAGAGGAAAAAAAACTGCGTCGTTTAGCTAGGGCTAAAAATTTTACAGGGCTTCGCAAACGCTAACAATTTACAACTAAGAACAACAACGAAGTGCTCCAAACGACGGCTCGGCTATGGGGCGAGCACACACGAACATCGACACGAGCGCGACATGAAATTGAAACGAACGCGTGTATGAGCGCCCATGCATGTGTATGTGTGAGTGTGAGTGTGAGTTTGTTGTGTGAAAAACGTGTGTCGCTGTGTATGTATAATACACCAAAAAGTCAATGCAAAAAAGAAATGAAAAAAAAGGGCAAAGCGAAAGAAATCGTCAAATTTTAAATGAAAATTCCGCTAGCATTTTTCACGCGACAAAAAATCACAAAACAAAAACGAAAACTGTGGTAAACGCGCCGCACAGCACAAAATATTTTCCTGCTTTGCTTTGCACGGTTTTTCTGCTTTGCACTTTTATATATATGTACACATATATATATATTTAAGCACTGCGCCGGGCTTCCTTTTCCTGCATACACAGAAAAGTATGTGCATATATACATGTCTATATATATACATACGTATACATTATATATGTACATATGTATACGTGTATATATAGAGATATATGATATATGCTGCACGCACTATTTAATGTCTCCTGCTTTCGTTTTTCTTATGTTGTTGCTGTTTTATTAATTGCTACGCGCGTGCCATTTTCGTGATGGTGCGTTTATGTGTGCGTGTGTGTATGTTTCCACACTATTTTCCGAACTGTATTCTGTTGTATTTTTGTATGCTTGATATATTCGTATTTGTTTTTAGCTTCATCAACGCAAACTAATTCATTTTTCTCTTGCCTTCGCCCGTTTGCTTCATTGTGAAAATGTATTTTTAAGCTGCTGCTCCTCTGCTGCTGCTTCTGCTTCTACTACTGCTGCTGCTACTGGTGCTGCTGCTGCTGCTGCTGCTGCTGCTGCTGATGACAATGACAAAGTTGACGACGGCTGCGACGAATAGGACGACGGCGACGAGCGCTGCGCTCCGCTGGCAGACATTATGGGAACACGACCGAATGGATACTGGGCCACCGCATGCGAAAAGGCCGTCAGAAAAGCAAAAGCATCACTCAGGCTGGGGCACACACACACACACACACACACACACACACACACACACACAAACATACTCTCTCTCTTATGTGCACGGGCGCTCTCTCTGCTCTATTTGTGCTTTATGCATAAGCCAAAAGGGTGGCAAGGTAAGAGCGCTCTCTCTCTATCTCTCTGTCTTCTCTTTCTAGCTAGCAACCGAGTCGGAGTGCGTAAAAGCTTTGCGAAAAAACAGGTTAAAGCATGTGGCCCCCGCGACCCGCTAACAGTCAATACCTTTACGCTCTCTCTGTCTCTCTCTCGCTCGCTCTCCCCCTGTCTTTGTCTTTTACTCCTTGCCTCTTCTTGCTTACTTTAGTGTATTATGCCCCAGAGCCAAAATGCGCACGATTTGCTTTTGGGGTGGCATTTCACATCGCTGTGTTGTCCTTCCTGCGTGCGTGTACTTTGTGCAGTTGTTGTAGTTGTTGCTGGGCATCATCTTTGCCTATCTACACATCGTTTGGCTTCCAAGCAGGCCATGACAAGACCTTGGAGTAGCCGCTATGTATGCCTGCATGTGTCTATGTGTATGTGAATGTGTGTGTGTGTGAGTGTGCCAAACAGGATTGTTTATCGCATAATTTTTTTGTTTGCCTGCAATCAAACTTTATGCTTTTCTAGTACCCATACAAGCTCAATAGTAGTCCAGATTGAAAAGTAATTATAAATCAAATTCAAAGGCATATGAAATAAGTGGAATGATAAGATTTAAGTAATAAATGTAGTATTTACATCTGTGATGCTATGCACAAAATTATGAATTCTTTTACTTGAACTTTTGCTGCAAAAAGTGGCGAAATTTTAGCAGCAGTAGTAAATTTAAATTTTAGAGTAACGTTGACAAACTCTGCAAGAAAAAAAGAATTGCTTTCGATTCAACTTTGCATTTGAAATGCAATCAAGCGCACAAATTTGATTTAAAAACCATCTAAAAAAAATATAGTCAACAAAATATTCTAGTTCAATATTTGTTGCAGCAATTCAATTAAAATGGTCAAATGCCTTTGGGAAAATTCAGATTCAGTTTGAAATGCATCCATCGCTCTCTCAATTATAGTTCGCAAATTAAGTTTGCTCTCGATGCTGCGAGTTTTCAGCCAATTTTGATGGTATTTCATCAATCGGGCACGAGATGGGCAATAAAAAAGCTTTTACGAAGAAATAACTGTAAAATTGAATAAGCACTCGCGTCTTTAATTGGAGGGGGGAGGAGGAGTATCTACTCTCAGCTGTCACAGTGCATTACAGAAACGCAATCTATGTATAAGCTCAGTGTGTGTGTGTGTGCGAGAGGATTTCATTGTCAGTTGCCGTGACTATAGACAAAACCTCAATA